CTGGGATCACACAGATGGCCACAGACACATATATGCACACATGTACTTCAGGGCACTGGGCTACAAGAGGATACACTGCCTAAAGCTAAAACCAGCCTCTGTGCATTATATAAGAAAGCTTAAGAGTTCATATACGTTCCAAGACTTGTGGTTCCCCCAAATGGTGTGCCCTTACAGAAAATGAAGGGTTTACTCAAGCTGGACAAAAATCCTTCTAGGATGGATTTAGAGCTACAGCAGCCACCCATCCTTTTAAGCAATACATAAAGAAGCCAAAGGTTTTTTTAACTTGCCTTGTCACAAGATTTGTGTCCACAGACATTTTTGGAGTTGAATTCCCACTGAAGTAAGCGACAGCTTCACACAAATGGCCTGCAGTACCTGGGCCTAAATATTTAACTTCTTAGTCAACCTTCTGGAACAGTTTTAATGTTTGCAGTTGTAAACATTGTGAAAAGCTACTGCTCATGTACTTAAAACCAGATGGACTTAAAGCCCACACCCTGAGAACCACTTGCTGAAACCCCACAGCTACACCCAAGCTGGTCCCAGCTGTTCCACTTACGTTTTACAATACATCACCAGGATATTCAGAAATAAGCTCTACCAACACAAGGTGTAGGGCTCTGTTTGTTCAATATGCAAAAAAAGTTGTTTGCACCTAATTTTAGTATATCCACCTACAAAACATTTGGTTTCCCAGGTCATATGCCCTGCTTGAGTTTGAGGGTTTTTAAAGACATTAAAGAAAGAGGAGGTTTCCTATTTTCCTGAGGTTTCTAAGCATCCTGAAGCCCAGTGAGAAGACCTACTTGATGTCTCAAAATGCCACTCTTAAAGGTCACTAGTCACATACAGATCATTAGCACAGGCAATTGGCTTTAATTACTGTTTTGGGGTAATCTTTGGGCTGGCTGATGCAGCCCTACAGCTTCAACCCACATAAGCAAAAGGCATCAGCAGCACAGCAGATCCTGTCAGAAACAAGAGATCCTAAATAGGCAGGAACCACTTCTCCCAGTGGATTGCAGATGTGGTTTCAGCAGTTTCCCTGACTGGTGTGATTTAGAAAAACAGGTTTTCCCAAGTCATCCTGGCTAGGGCACTGCAGAAGAGCCATATTTAATCAGGAGCTGGGCAACACCGAGGCTGTGCACACCTCTATGAACCTATCTGCAAAGGAAAACCTTTCAAATCTGTGTGTGTGCTTAATCCCAGGACTGACCATTTGCTGTTTCCACTGCTGCCTTGCCTGTTCAGTGTCACAGTAGCTGCAGTCAACACAGACAGTTCTGTTTGGATGCCTCGTGTTTTACTGCACAATGCATAAAATGTAACCTGATAACGCACAAAAGGCGTTTGGCATCTTCTCTTTTCAGCACGAACAGTGTTATTGTTCTGGGCCATCCAAAACATGAGTCAGCCTGCGGGGACACGGCCCTGCAACTCACCCAGCAGCAGAGCCAGCGTGGGCTGCAGAGCTCAGCTCAGCTCTCCCTGCAGATGTGCTGCTCTCCCTGCAGATGTGCTGACCCACACCCAGACTCCTGCCCTTTCACTGCTCCTTTGAAAAGGACAGGTCCTTCAGCAGTGGTGTTCGTGCCATTAGCAGGCTGGTGGCTACCCTGCTGTGCAGTAACTGGTTAAATTTATGTGGCATGTGGTTTCATTCAGCTGATCTGGACTGCTGCAGAAGCCAGGCACACCCTGGCCTGACAGGAATCACGAATCCCCTTCTCAGCCAAAGACGCTCAAGTGAACATAAACCAGACTGGGAACCAAGGGGCTGATGGACTCTTCCTTTCAAAGCTCCTGAGACCCTTAATCCCCATGCATCCTTTTTCCACACACTGCTTTATGTGCCTGATTGAAGCCCAAGTGATTGAAATCCAACCAGCAGAGGGGAGGGGAGCGTCCAGGCACTGAGATCAGGATGCCTGTTCCTGTTACGCATGTGGTCACTTGTACTGAAACAACGAGTCAGGACCTCAAGAGCCTCATGAAATGATGAATCGAGGAAAGGCAGAAAGGACAAGGTCAGCAAGAAAGTCGAGAGAAAAACTGGCTGTACAGACAGACAAAAGGAAAAAGAAACGGAGAGAAATTGGTTAGAAAGTGTCCCAGCTTGGGGAGGTCTGTGCCGTCAGGGCTCACGGATAGCTGCGGAGAATCTGGTGGAGTGTGTTTAGCATGGACATTGTTCTACCAGTGGGACCCAGTGTTGCAATGCTATTCTCTTTAGAACAGTCAAAACCAGCAGAAAAATGAGATTTTTATGGTGACATTACTCAGGCAATTTCCCATGTCATCAGAACACGTCTGGAGACTGGACACTGGGTAGAGCCCATTTCCGCCAGCGCTGCAGGGAGCACAGCTCATCCTGTGTCACAAAGTCACGACTCTCCTCTGCTCCTGAGGGACAGGACCCACATCCAGGTTTCACCAGGAACATGTTCAGCAGGACAGCCCTGCTGGCCTTTCCACAGCAAGGCTTTCTGGGCACGTTGCTCTGGAAGATGCGATCCCCACGCTGACTCAACACGGGATGCACATCTGGAATTCAGTCACCCATTAGCAACGTTTAAGTCACTGACTTGGAAAACAGGCAGGAGAGACAAAGGGGACAGCTGACTGCAACAGCAGCTGTTTTATCTCCACTCACCTGACGTGTGAGGGGTACCTGGGACACCCCTGGGATTGCCAGTGCCTCACCTTCACCTTGTAGGCAGCCCCAGCTGTGCCCATCAGCCCTGCCAGGGACGTGGTGCAGTCAAACCCCAGCACGCTTGTCCCCAACAACTGGGACCTCAAGCTTGGTCTCAGGGAACAGCCCTGCAGCCATTCAGCCCTCCTACCTGTCCTCCCACCCTGGGCACGCAGGAGAGGACACCGAACAACACATGCTGAAATCAAAACACGGCACAGAAGTTTTAAATAATTTTATAATTTCCTGATGAACTTAGTCTGTGAATAAAAAAAGAAGAAAAAAAAAAAAAAGAACAAAGTGTTTATATTATCAAGGCAAAGTTGAATATAACACATTTTCTTTGCAATTTCATTATCCTGTCAGTAACATGACTCCAGCAATAAAACACATACAAGTTGAAGGCAGCGTGCGCACTTGCATCACGGACACCAATGTCTCCCGCTGCTGTCATTTCCAAAAGGAATTCAAGTACACTAGATCCCATCCCTAAAGCCTGCCTCCCCCTCCACTAAAGTGCAACACGTCTCTTCCAAAGCAAATGAGAGATCTGTGTGTGTGGAGTGCAGGGAGCATCCCCCAGAACCCAACTCCACAGATGATTTGTGCAGCTCTCCTCATTGCCTTGGAAGGAAACGGCAATTTACTGTTTTAGTGGGCTTGGAGCAGCATGTTGGGCTAGCACAGAAGTTATTCCCCTGTTTGTGGTCCCATTGGATTCGTCCTCCTCCAGCATCTGAACAAATAAAGGCATCTTACACAAGAGCCTCCCCAGTTATACTGTCATGAGTGTGTAATGAGGGGCCAAATGCAGCCACCCCTGGGCAGGGAGGACTTGGCCTTGTCTGCAGAGGGCTGGGAAGATGGGGCAGATAAAAGGAACAACGTCTACTTTTAAAATTTGGCTTTGAATTTGGTTTTTAAGGTAACCACATTTTATAACAAATAAGAGTATACATGACCAATGGATCCATTTTTTGCTAGTTTCCAAGTGGAAGAAGCCAATGTTTTGAACAAAAAGCCCTTCCAAAGCACCAAGAGCCTAATGGGAATACCTACTTGAAACCAAATGGACTTGATTTTGATGATGTGAACCTAGCTTGCAAAATGGGGACAAACAGCATATGGTTAAGTTTGCAAATAAAAATACATCTGCTTACTGAAATTCTTTACCTGTGTTGACAGGTAAAGCCATTTGTCAGGGCTTTTTTGTTAACTTTACATGCCAGTTTAGCCTCATGTTGCTCTTTTCAAGCAATGCAAGTCTTTGGTACAACCAGAGCAGAAAGTGGCTGCTGGTCCTTTCCTGCCCCATAACGCTTGGGTACCAACACCAGAGGCAAGGAAATCCAACCTTGAGAATGAACCTACACACAACTACCTGCACTAGCTGATCTTCACTTGATTGTGTCCCTGCCATAAGGGGTGGGATGGAGAACACAGAACACTTGTCCAACGCTTTTGGCCCATTCACATCTGTGGTTCCCATTTTAGGGGACACCTGGTGTTGATAACTGTCACCAGAAAAGACTGAGTTCCAAAACACTGTTTCATTCTGCCCATTTCTGTCTTACACATGTACAGTATAAACCTGGGAAAGCAGGAATTTATACAGGGTTTGTAACATTTCCTAAGAGGCCAAGCTGCCTTGGACCTCAAAAGCCTGTGAAAGGCAACTGGTTATAATTATAAGCCCACAAATCCTTTTCTGTACAATCCTGAGAGGAGGAGTCATGGCTTTGTTGCTTCTTTACTTGAATTCCTTTTAATGAAATTTATTTTTATATATTTTTTAAAACACATCTTTTTCAGTTCTACTACTATCTTTTTTTTTTCAATCCGACAACAGACACACATTGTTGGTAACTGCCCCAGCCTTAGGACCACACAGACAATATCGACAAGCAGAAAACAAAACAGGAGAAAAAAACACCCCTGAAAAAGTCAGGGGAGATACTGATGACAGGGTTACAGCACTCACCACACACACTGGAAAAAGTCAGGATTTCTGAGTTTATGCTTTTGACACTAAAAAGTTTTGAAACAGTTTTTCTCTTTTTTTTTCTTTTTTTCTTTTTTTTTTTTTTGTTTTAAAAATAGTCAGTGGACACAGCCATTTTGTTCAGAAAGATCTGCTGTTGCATAAGGTTCCTTCCATTTTTTTGTGGAAAAAACAATTAAAAACATCATTGTGTTTAAAAAAACCCCCTGACACTCCTCTTCCTCACCACGTGGATGAAAGGGGTCAGAGAGTTGGCCCCTGGTGCCCCGTGCCCGACCCTCCCACCCCGCTGGGGCAGTGTTGGTTATCCACACTGAGTGTTGGTTATCCACAGCCTTCCACAGCCTCTCCAGGTCCCTCTTCCAGTGCTGGCGTGGAGCTGAGGAGAGGCTTCCTCTCAGTATCAGATGCCTTGATTGTACTTTTCCCTTCAGCACTTCACTGGAGTCATTTGAGGGATGTACATGTTACGTATGGAGTGACATTTTTGCTTTAAAATGGTATCAGAGCATGACTCTACATCCTTTGTAAAGAGCCCTGCAGTGGCAGCGATTGGCAATTAGTACAGGAGTGGGGACTCAACCCTGTCAACCCTCTTCAGATGTGAAAATTTCCCAACAAATTGAGCCCTAGCAGTAGAACGGGTGGGAATTACAGGGCAAATGAAAAGAGGTGCCCCTTTGGTTCAAAAACCAGGGTTATCTCTGCAAGATCTATGACATTTATGCTCCCTTGTGCAAATTTCAGAGCCCAGAAGTACCAGGAAGTTTTCTAGAGAAGGGATATTCCAGCCGTGCAACGAGAAACAGCGCACGCGGTTCCGCGCGTCACGTCAGACTTTCTGTCCCCAGGACTTGGCAAAAACTGGATACTCCAAAGAGGGTTTGGCATTTTCTGGAGTGAAAGCTGGTTAAAGGCAGTCAAAACGAGAGAGAGTACTTGGAGAAGCTTAGAGCTTCATCTGGGAGCATGCCAGGTAATTCTTCTTCCAATGGCAAACAGTGCTCATGTCCTCACCCTGCAATTCTAGTGTTATGTCCTTTTAGTGTTTTACATGAGGTTGGATTCAGAGGAAAATATGGACTTGGACTGGTGGATATCATGAACAAGTGTGGTTGCAGTGTCAGCTTTTGCAGTGTACACTGGCTTCAGGCTTCAGTTATTTTTTAGCCCAAACCCTGTCAAAATGACCTTATTAATTTCCTACAAACAGCTCCTAGAGTCCTTACATCTCTCAGCTTCTCTACAAATGAAGAGAAGCTCAGGAGGAAAAAAAGTAGCATCAAAGCAGCTGAAACTTCCACAGCTCCTGGAGCAAATGGAACTTCATTAAACAAGAGAAGAAGGAGCAAATTTCCCTGGGGTCCCTGGGAAGGGCCCCTGATTTCCTAGAGCTGCTGCACTGCAGGACTGCTGTGGTAGGAAACTGCATCTGCCTGGCTGCTGACACTTGGGAATACAATCCTAAAAGAGCAGTGGTGGGTTAGGCAGCTGGATCAGCACTGCAGGGTATGCCACATAAGGCCCTTCTCCCATGTGCCTCATATTCAATTCCATGATGGGTTATGAGAATAAAATTCCTTTGTTGCCTTAAGGCCAGTGGTGTGGCACTCCATATGAGGGAAAAGAAAAAACTTTCAGTGGTCATGTTCAGCACTAAATGGTGGCCAGCAGTACCTCCCAAAGCCCAAAGCTCCTCGAGCTGTTCACCACAGGATCTCTGTTGACACAGGATCAGAGAGATTACCTGAGACAGTTCAATGGAGATCAAGTTGGATCAAGACTGTTCCTGAAGGAGATCTGCTCCCTCCCTGAAAGCGCTTTACAGAGGTCTAAGATCAATCTTTAAGATGGGAAGCCTACAAGACCTAGGAGATAGCAGTGGTTAACGAGAAAATCGCCAGGGCCCAACAATTCAGATGGAAGGAACAGCAGGTGTGTGGCTGGCAGATAAAGGACCAAATGGGCAGCGTGAAAACCAGCCAGGCTTGACGAATCCTCCCTGGGAAGAGGCCGGGAGATGTGTAAACAGCGAGCTTCACCGGGCTGCTGACACACAGATCCTGCACACGCTGCCGTGACAGCACCGGGCCTTCGCCTGGGGCACTTTGAACTACAGAAATGCAGCCACAAGCTGACTTGGAGATGCTGAAGGAGCAGCAGCACTTCCCTGCCGTGTGTGGGCAAGGCAGGAGAGCCAGGGAATTGAAATAACAGCCTGAAGTGATGGCCCCTGGCTCCCATCCCCTCCCCCTGCCTCCAGCAGAAACGCTATCAAGGAACATCTCAGTAAGAGGTTTACAAGCAGGAGTCATTTGAACCATCGATAAGGGAAATTCCACAGCTTCTCACAGAGGAAGGATTGTTTTACAGCAGGGAACCAGGGCAGCTGGAGGTTTGACCATATAAGTTAATGAGAGAGTCAGGAGGGGTGGCGGTGGCCGATGATGCTGGGCTGATGGCTCTGATGCTTTTACAGGCGGCATTAAATTCCTTGAGTGAGTAATTAGGGGTGATGAAGAAAAAGCAAGAGGAAAGATTTCAAAACAACAGCTCCTATCGAAACGTGCTGACTCAAATAATGGGAGCAAAGGGGTGGTTCTGGCATGAGGCACGGCCCAGCAGTGTGTACAGTCACTGTCTGCTGGCCTTCCGGCATTCCCCCCCTTCCACACATTCAGGTTCCCATTACTCTCCTCACAAATGACACACACAAAAAGCTTCAGACACAGGCTGCTATGACAGGAAGAACTAAAGCTAGCTCTCCTCATTTGCAAAGCACTGGCAATTCCAAAGTTGGAAAAGTTGAAAATTGCCTCTTCTTTTGAGACTTCTTCCTTGACACCCTGGCTATGAATGCAGCTCCTTCTGCTGAATTATTACAGTAGAATGAATGGGGATGTGTAAATCAGCTAATTCCCAATAGAGCCTACGTAAGGTTTTAGTTTTTCCCAATTTTCAGTTCTTGTTTGGAAGATCTACAGGGTACATCTTCCCTTACTCAAACTTTTGCTGATCTCCTTTCTGCTGGAAGCCATTGGTCACTTCTAAAGATAAAAACAAGGTGTGGAAGACCTACAGGTGAGCTGTGCCGTGGATCTGAGAGACACAAGAAATGCAGTTTTCTTGAAAGGGCTTGCAACATTTTCCTTAGCTAACAGCTTAGTGATTAAGCCCAATATGTAGTAAGCCACATGGAATTAAACTGCAGGCTCTGAATGGGAGGTTTACTGAGAGGATCCATAATTAGCTAGTGACTAGAAAACCAGGATTTCTTCCAGTGCTGTGTTGACATTTGGTCTCCTTTTGCCTTCCCCTCGCTCTCTGAAGTTAATATGAGCCAGCCAAAGGGAGCAGCTCCTTTAAGGAGCACGTGGGGACGTGTTACAGGGTTCTGTCCTGCAGATGCCCCCAGACACACATAACCACTGGCAGCCAGGAAAAAAACGTGTCTCCCCATTAATGCATAGCCCAAGAATGAACACCCAAGTCCTACTCATAAAATAGGATTTCTGACTTGCTACAATGACAAACTGACCTGGGATTTCAGGTCATGTTACCTGTCAGCAGGAGCTGTAACGAGTGTCGAAGGTGGATGGGAACAGAACTAAGGCCTCTCATACACACAGAAGAATTGCACTGGTTTAAGTAAAGCTGTGATTTTGCACCTATCTACTCAGCTGGGTGCCAACTCCAGCAGAGATGCTCCTCTTCATAAGGGTTATTGCTCTGAACTCAAACTCAATGTAAGCTAAACAAAAATAAATTAAATTATAATTATAGTAAGGACTATGCTACTGATTTACCTAACTTAGCTTTAAAATTCTACTTTTAAGCTAAATGATGCAAATTTCTCATTTACAGAATGCCTAAGACTATTCTGATGACAGCTAGTGTTCACAAAGTTATGGCCTGAAAAACTGGACAAACTATACAAGTTAAAGCTGGGAACTGACCTGTTGACCACACCTGCTCCAAGGGAGAGAGCTCTCTATAAAGTAAGAACTTAGGAGACACAGAACTATGATGAGAAAACTCATCTAAAATCCCCCCAAAAATCAACAGATGAAAACAGTTACCTCAAAAAACCACCTAGCACTTCAGAGTCAGACCAGTGAACAATCAAAACCCAAGTTAAGTAAGCAGAAAGTACCAGTATCCCTACCTTTTCTCCCCAGCTGCTAGATGAAACGACTAACAGGAGCAAGTAGGGAAACTTTCCTCTCCTCACTCTGTTATTTAAGAACATAAGAAGCATTGAGACAGGCAGCAAGACCTGAGCTAGCTGATGCTGGCCAGTCATGAGCCATAATCAGAGCACACTCAGGTTTGGCTTTAGCACTATGAAATTCAGGCTTTCAGCTTTCATGAAAATAAAAAACAGGAAGAAGGAAAGAAGATAAGAAGGAAAAAGCAATGTATTAATGAAAGGTGAGGGCTACTCTTCTGCAACCTCATGGAGAACTAGAGCTGCTTGTGTTCAGTGGATCCCCTCTTCTTTGCTCAGTAGACTCAGAAGAGCTCTGCTTAGCTGTATCCGAAAGTCACAACCAACAAAGTCACTGAGGAACTGGGTTCTAAAGTAGAAAGGCAGTGAGAAGATGAATACAAAAATGGCTGATTAATCATAGACTGGAAGAACCTAGAGAGCATGAAGTTTTTAGAAGGGTTTTTTTTGCCTTTGTTTTCTTTGTCAAAGGTGCACCGGAAGTTTCTATTCCACGTTCTGTCTTTCACATTGCTCTCCACTCCCACGGCTCCGTGGACTGACTGGGCTTGGCTGCTGGTGTGCTGCTCCGTGGACTGGTGGCCGAGGTCAGGAGGACTGGTGGAGGTCAGGAGGACTCCTCCAGGGCGTTGACGACCTGCTCCAGGATGTCGGGGCAGTGATCCGCGATCTGCTGCAGGATGGCGTTGGCGAACTCCTGCAGCTCCGCGTTCTCCCTCTCCCCCTTCTCCAGCTCATCGTGCAGCTGCAAGGACACACAGACACACCATCATCACCACACCTGAGCTTTCAGCTTTCCTGTTTTCCAGATTCTGCACTGCATTAGGATGGAACTCTGAGCTTGACATAAAGTGTCAGCAAGTTCTCCTCACAGCTCGGGCAGACGCGACAATTTCCAGCCCCAGAACCGAGGACACCATTGCAGCTTCAGGCCCAAAATGTTTAAACAACAGTGAACTGAGGGGAGAAATCTTCAGCATAACCTGAAGCTGTAATTGGAGAATAAACCCCAATATGGACATAGACCAAAACTGATCAAAGTGTGAAAACTCCTGACCCAGGGTCCATCCTGGGTGTAGCCACAGCCAGGCTCTTGCACTGCTCAAGGTGATACTTGGAAGGGTTTTTAATAAATACCTCCTTTATTCCTTTAACTCTGTCCAGCCTCTGCTCCAGGGAGCCTCTCAAGGCATCAGCCCCCCTGCTCTGAGATGTGCTTGCTGTGGGACAGCCCTGCCCAGCAGGCTCAGCTACACCAGCACTGTAGGAAGGGAACTAACAGAGGTGACACGTGCTGGGCACTTCCAGCACCCACATCTTCCCTCGGTGACTCCCTCACCTGGAACTGAACGCTCTCCATCCTCTTCATTTCACTTTTTCATTCTACAGGTTTGTCACCTCCTCAGTAAAGACCATGCCCACATGACTTAACTACTCCTGAATACATTGTTCTGTGATAAATGTAAGAAAAACTTCCTCTCTAGAATGTTTTCTGAAGGCAGCCATATCCCAGCAGCAATACAGCAGCTTGCCAGTGTATTGCTTTAAACAGTTTGACTGTTATTCATGAACAACGGCATGTTTCATAGGTCACTGCTTGAGAATTATTCCTGATATGAAATCAATAGGAATGTCACATAATTGTACATAATGCACCCAGAGTTAACCAGAATTCTCTTTTTCCTGAGGGATTATTAATTTTCAGAAACTCTCTTTCCTAACTCAGTCAGAAGATGACTCCACACAATTGCTGTGGAACATACACGATTTTTGTTTACTAACTCTGCATTTCCTGTTGTGTCATTTCGTTCTTCAGATCACTATAACTGGCTCAGAACAGGACCCAGAATTTCAAACTTTGTATTATTCACTCTGTCTACAGTTTATAAACAGTTTCTCCAACAAGTGGTGTCCCAAACCATGTCACACAACATATGCAAACACAGCTTTCAACTTTGAGCCTAATGCCATCGCCAGATTTAGGGGCCCACAGAGTCTCAATAAAGAGCAGGAAACATCTGCCTTCAGTAACCTGTTTAGCTGCCCAGCAATTGATAAAGTCCCTGCTGGCCTGTGAAGTGTGCAAAGTCCCGAGGAGAGCTGTAATTGGTGCAAGCATTTTGGGGATTACAGTGCTCACAGTGCTCTAAGGACCTCAGGGGAGAAGGAGAAGCAGCATCCCTTTCTAGGTCAGGTGATATGGACAGACAGACTGGATAAGCTTTCCAGCCCTGCCCTATACTTTATACCAAAAAGCTCTTCTATTTTTAGTGAATAAAGTATATTCCCTATGAATACAAGCATATATGTAGGAGGTATTTACACTTAAAATTCTGAAGCTTATTTCCAGTTTCTTTGTCACTTTGAGCTGCTGTGAGCAACTATCTTATCTTGTTTGAACCTCCTTTTAAATTTTGCATGGTTCTTAAAAATGTAGTGTTATCTGTCAGTCCTGTAACATTTCTTATTCCAAACTGATTAGTATTTTTATTGGAACTCTACTATGTTAATACATGACATGGAAAGGATGTCAAACTGGCATTTTTCGTGCCTGAAGGGATAACTGTTCATCAGGATACAAATTTCTTGATCTGTGTTTTGCACTCCTGTAACACTGCTCAATGCAGGTTTTAAAAAGAGAAAGCTATCAGGCAGCAGCACAGCAGGGATCATTTTACCACTTTAAGAGCACAATGCCGTGGCAAGGGTTAGATTTGTACAATTAAAATTCTAATCAGATACAACAGCATGTCTCTGTTTAGTGATGGTATCAAGCAAAGCACAGCAGATTGCTTCTGCAAGGAACACTGATTAAAAACAAACAGCCTAAGAACGACCATGGAATAAATAAAAATGCTTTTTAAGGAAGTTATGGTGCAGGCTTCTGTAGACAAAAGTGTGAGAAAGGAAATTAAAAGGGCAAGCAAGCTCCCCTGTTCCCTTTCCTAGGCAGGGTAGCATATAGTAAATTATATATATATATATAGTAAATTACTGGGGCTCTGCGTGCTGAATGTTGGTTTAATGTGCTCTCATGTGCTCTGCTCCCACTGGCTGCTGTAGTCACAGAACAGCCAGAGGAACCCGAGAGGGGCTCCTGCCAAGAATCACAATGCAAAGGCAACCTGATCCTGCTCTGTGGAGTGACATGAGCTGGGAAAGAGAGGGAGGGGAGCACTCTGGGCTCTGGGGGAGAAGGGGGGCCCAGCAGTGACCCACAGTGGCTCAGGAGCAGCAGGGTGTGGGTGGTGCTCAGCCTGGCAGAGGCACTGGCAGGAACCTCCAGCGCATGGAAAAGCCCAGGAAAGCTGCAGTCAGCAAGCAGGATGGAGAGGCTCAGAACAAGCAGGCAGGAGTGGTGCTGGATGTTAAAAGCCAAGGGATTGGGATTCAGGGAATGCCTGTGGGGCTGGGGCTGTGAGCCTGGTGAGATGCCAGGTCCAGCAGCCCGCCAGCCACCCAGAATGGTGCGTTCCTGGGAATGCTCTGAGCCCTGAACTCAGAGACTGGGCTGCCTTGTGCCCTCCTGGGCCAGCACAAGGATTGCTCCTGCCATCCCCCAGAAGGATGGGAGGCTGGAGAGGTGGGAGAGAGCAAGAAACAGGAGAAACAGCCAATGTTATCATTCTCCTCCTCTTGTCTGGCACCTGCGAGGGTCCTGGGCTCTCGGTCCACAGGAGGAGAACCAGGAGAGGGCAGTGTTAGCAGGGAAAGCAGAGGTCCTGCACCAGCACCACCTGCCCAGCCAGCATCCTTCTTCCCAGCCTTCCAGCCAAATCCTCCAGGTGAAGCTCCAGGAAAGGAAAAAGCAACTAAAATAATGAAATAGAAAAGCACCTGCAAGAGACTGAACTTCAAAACTGAAGGAGGGTTGGTGGGCAAGGGAGAATCCTGAAGGATGTTGTCTTTAGTGGGGCCACACTGCAACATCAGTGAAGTGTCAGTTTCTTGCTCTACTGGTCAGCATTTATGTATTTATAAGATGTCTTATAAAATCAAGATAAGCCCAACAGAATAATTTCATGCCAAAGGCAATAAATCAAGTGCAACCAAACAAAAGTAACCAACTTAACCAGAGGAAGAAAATATTTCCAAGTAAAGAGTTTTTGACCATCAAGAGCCCAAAAGGAGATGGCTCTGAATGCTAAAGGCCAGCAACAATACTTGACAAATCAGCACAGACAGAAAGCCCACACAGCTGGCTGGCAGATGTCTGTGGTGAAACATCTTTGGAAAAATAGCAAAGATAGCCTTGAGTTGAGTTTGCTAGCTCCACAACAGCTAGGTTTAATAATGTGATTCCTACTGCAGCAAAGACATCTTAATTGACTCTGTGGCTGGTGGCAGCATTTCTACATCAGGGATATCATCTCCACTGATGTCACTGCTCTCACAGCAGCACGCCAGGCCTCCTTCAGCCCAGGGAACAGCCACTTCCCAGTGCCATAACTGGATTCACCTGCACGTTTGGAAGTCCAAATTCCTCTAAAAGTATTAATATCAGTTCTGGTTTCCTAGATTTTTTTCTTGTGAATGCAAGCTGACATGTTGTTATCTTCCCTATGCCATTTTTCTAAGAAAATAAAGAAATGTAAACAATCCTTTTTATTTTTTTTTTTTCTTTTTGGCATTTCCAGTTGAGGATATGAGGAGATTCACATACTTGCCTCATAGAAATGACCAAAAATGAGAAGGCAAAGCCAGATATGTTCTTTGTCCAGTTGATAACAAGTTAAGAATAGACAGCTCCGAAAGAAAAGGACAGCAAAGATTCCAGAGGTGCTTCATAGTATTTATCTTTGGACAGAAGAACAGAAATGGCTTTCAGCATCTCAGGGGAAAGAAAGCTTGCAGATAATCTGCAATAGCTTCAGACACTTTTCAGCACTGCTGCCTTCCTTCCTGGGTTTAGAGCAAGCCATGATAGGAATAATTTTCCATTTACAGTTAAAGTCCATCACTGAAAAAAAAAATAAATCCCTAACAATTCACCATGAATTTAGCTTCTCTGCTCCAAGATATTTCAGAACTCATTTAAAGATTAGCAGATATTCAGAGTTGCATGAAGATAACTTCACAGTTAAGAAAAGAGGATGCTAAGGTTTTATAGGTACACTGGGGGAACTCTGCTGCTGCTCTGCAGAACCTTTCTGGCCTCTGCTTTTGCCATAATGCAAAGAAGGCAAAATTAAATTAAAAATTGAGATTCTTTAAAACTTATTTATACTCCCCAGTGTGATTTTTACCTCATTAACAATTCCACAGAAACACTGATGACAAAAGGCAAACATGGATAAATTGGTATCTCATCCTGGGCTATGGACAGTAAACCTGAATTGAGAATATGGAGAGCTTGTACAGCAGCACAAGAAGTGAGTTAGTGGAGAACTTCTATAAAGATACAACATCAAGATATAGAATTATGTTCCTCCAAAGTTCAAGTGTTTCTGGATCAGGTTATGGTTAGTTTGAAAAATACACTTAGAGCTTAAAGTAACACAGGTAAGCATCAGTAAGAAATTTCACTGATTTAATCTAAATCTTTGTTTTGTCTCAAGTTAAACTTCACTGTAGCTCAGGTAAATTTTGCATCTACCCAGAGAAACCAGTGTAAATATGTGTGTTTGATACAGGGAGAGCTAATTACATATAAACCTTTATTTCTGAACTATATACCTATAAAAGAGCCAAAAGAAAGGGTTATGAGTATGGAAATCCGGTCTGACAAATTTCAAAAACAAAAAA